AACGAGGCCTTCAATTCCTATAAAAAAATAAGGAGCTAATTGGAGTAACTATAAAGTTAAAGTTTAAGTTAAATAGTTAATGCATAGCAACAACTATAACCAACCAAAAGGGTCACAGCAATACAGAGGAGCTGATTAAGAGAACTAACATGTTATGTTTCAAATATATCTTATAACAACAACCAGATACAAAAACATCATGGTGCAAAAAAAGTAAAGGAGAAAGCAATTTGAAAAGAGAACATAAAAAGAGATGGTATTCTGAATGTACTTACTTGCCTCTTCGGGAAGCACTGGAGACGAGAAACCAAGCATGCCAACAAAGGGGGGAAAACAACAATTACAAGAGGGATAAAAAGAGAATGAATACCAAATTTTGCATTCTTAAAGAAGCAAGATCATGATTAATTTTTTGGATTAAACTACAGCACGCTTAAGGAAGAAGGAAACGCCCGTCATGAAAAGGCCCCTAATGATGCCTACATTTACATATTGTCAATTTGACATGAAAAAAAATAAAAAATGAAAAATGAAAAGGGCCCTAATAATGCCTACAATTACATAGTGCCAATTCGACATGAAAAACAACTAAAAAATTATTCATAAAATATCTTACCATTTTTACCATAAAGCCTTGCATGTTGTGAAATCTGAAATTGCAAACACAAAATCCATCTTTAGAAAGAATTTGGCAAGTCAGTTAGCTTTTAAATATGACAACGGTAATATAAGTGAACTAAAATTTAACTCCAAGTCCGATCAGGGGAAAAAAGTATAAACTTACCTGAAAATCAGTCAGACCTTTCGTCGAGTCTACTCCAAAGAAATCCAAAACCTAAACGCAAAGAAACAAGTCAATTCAAAATGTGATGTTAAGAATTGTTGAATTCTTTGAATGAAAATTTTACAGAAATAGAAATGTAAAGTACCTCGGAAACAGATCTAGCGTAGGCGTCCTCCATTTAGGATCGGAGAAGAAAGCGTCGCCGGAGTTTTTCGCGATTGGGCTCGTCCGTTTTCGTTTATCCACTCTATAAAAATAAAATAAAATAAAATGTTTCGCTTCGGTTCGGTTCGGATGCTCGAGATTGACGCTTTTCAACTCAGTTGGAGTAGAATACAAATAAACCTCCCAATTACCATTGGGATTTATTATCGATTTCGCTGGATCGGTTTCGATTCGGGTCACAGACTTAATTTGGGCATTAGTTACGTCAAGTTGGGCCTGATCCGTTGGATTTGCAAGTGGTTGATGTTGATTTGGACTTAAATTGAATAAGATTTGCTACATATTTTTGTTGTCCTGTTAATTGTTGAATCCTTTGAAAGGAAAAGGTGAAAATTAAATTATTCAGACTTTTATGTGTATTTTAAATGCACATTTAGTTATATAATAATATGTTTAATATTAATGAATCATATTATTATTAACAATCATGTTTAATAAATAAAATATTAGTATTTTTTTTAAATATTCTTATTCTTAAAACACAATAAAGATTATCATTAATTCATAATCATATTTTGTTATCAATTTTCTAATATCATTAGTAAAGTTTAAAGATTACAATATTGGGGTTTAAAATAATTTTCTTTACTAAAAGTAAAGTATTAATTAATTTAAAAAACAAAATTAATAAAATTCATGTTTAAATAAAAATGTTTTTGTTGCGGTCGAAACCTCAATATCCATCCATCATTGCATTTGCTTTCAATATTGAGACAAGAAATATGTGATGATAAAATCAATTTAATACTAGGTAAACTTTATTAACTGTCAATTTTATTTCTTTATTAATATTATTATTATTTAATATTCAAAAATTATATTTTAATCATTTATATTATCGATTAATATTTAAATAATTATAAAAACGTTAATTTTCATTGCAATAATAACGTGAAAATTGAATAAAAAATTAATTTCTTATTTGCTAAAATATGAATTTATTTAAAACTTATTTTATTTCATTATCATCTTTAGAAGAAAAAATTATTTTATTTCACCTAAAAACACTTGGTTATCGCACTATTATTGCTCAGCATATCATTGCCATTGTCTTCAATGACGGAAGCTGCTAAATCAAAGTTGTTACTTTTCTCTTGTATTTTCCTGGTCTAATTTTTTAATTAAAAAAATAGCGAATCAGCTCCTAAAAATTAATATATATATATATATATATATATATATATATATATATATATCTGATTTTTATTGTTCGAAATAAAATCACTATCAAAATAAATTATATTATTTCTCTCATCAAACAAAATCTTATCATTATTAAGATAAATGATTAAAACCTTTGATCTACCAAAACCCAAGAACTCAATAAGTAATCTTTTTTTATTTTCTCTTTTTAGTTATTGGTTTCTTTTGGTTACTAATTTAAATTTTTGAATGATGGTTACCAAGGATTGACCGAGTAAGAACGAATAGGAACGGTCGCCGCCGCTCCCTTATTTATTTATTTATTTTATAAGTTGCATATGTTAAACCCAGAAGAGAAGCAACTATATGCTACAATCCAACAAAATCTTAACCAGTTATTCAGTATAAAATATCTCAAGCCATACATAGTTGGACATTTACAAAATCAGTCCTGTCTATACAATTTCTAAAAAGTTGAATCTTAACAGTTTTTTAAATAATACCCAGAATATCGTCATCTTCCTTGTGCACCCCTTGAAACAATTTACTATTCCTTTATCGTCAAATAAAGTAAATACAAGCACTTTAAACAAGCCTATGGATAAGAGTAAGGAAATATTTACCGTTAAGTAATGTAGCAGCCCAAGCTAGCCCCTGCTCCCAAGCAAGGATCGACTTATGCAGACCACAAGCATTCAGAACAGCCCTCCAAATCCCCTCGAAAATGAACAATCAAAAAACATATGCTTTCTAGTTTCCACGTCATTTCCACATAGTATGCACATATCATTCACCATTATATCCATACGAATCAACCTATTATTCATAGTCATTTGTCCCAAGACAGCAAACTAAGCGATCATCCCGTATTTTGACACTTGAAGAACAAACTATATAAGCTTGTGCCGGTTAACCAATGATATTGTCCTAGTAACAACAACAATGAAGGAATAACGAACGGAAGATGGTGATCATGATGATATTATGGTTTATGGGAAGTGGGGATAATGGGTTATGAAGATGAATTTAGGGTTTGTTGTGAAAATTAATTGATAGTTAAATACGATATATTGGGAGACATGAAAATTGTGATTGTTATGATTTATAGATTTTAATAACTATTTTAGATAACGATGAAGGTTTTAGGCTTAACTGAAAGTTGAAAATAAGTATTTTATATAATAACATACGATTAAAATAAAATATAGTATTAGATATAATTTAATTAAAAATAATTAAATATCCAAAATAGAAATAAATAATAAATGGGAACCGAAGAGAGAATTTACCCTAAAAAATAAAACTGTGCGCAGTTTGTTCGACTTTGTTGAAATCTAATTTAAAAAACAAGACAAAAACAGGAAAATACTAGAAGTTACTGTCATAGTATGAAAAATCGATTTTTATTTCTCGAAAGCCAGCTGTAGTTATCTCTGCCAATTTGCAGAATATGTTGGCGGGCTACTTTGAAAGGATTTTCTGAATTTCAACCAAAGTTTTGGAACAGCAGAACCCTCTTCCCCATTCCTCCCCTAGCAGTTCCTGTCTTTTAATTTCTGAAAGCTACTGACAAGATATTCTACGTTACTGTTAAACCTTCGAACATAACGAATAAGATCAAAAAAAACTGTATATGTACAGGAAACATAAATCAATGCCGAGAGGGATATTAATGTGAAGAATAGCGAACATATCTGTGTTTGAAGACAAACGCCATGGTTTCATCCGGTTTGCCGTTTAACAGGAACATTAAATTAAAAATGAATATACTAACTGTGACGTTAGTTTATGGAAGTGAAAAAAGGACAAAGAGAGAAGGATTGACAAGACAAAGAAGGGAAGTACTTGTCGTTTTCCAAAGATCCAAGTCCCTCTCCAGGACATGGCTACAAATTCTGAGGATGGCCCTGGAAACACCTTCACTTAAAAGATTTTGGAAGGGGAATCCACCAAAGAAACAAAAGTCTCAATAAATTTCTTGAATCCTGGATCACATTCTTGGTTGGTAGTTATCAGAGATGGAGGTGGTGGGGATGGTGCTTTTGGGGTCCCTTTTTGGTGGTCCCATTTCCATCTGAAAATATTTGCCAACTGTACATTTTAAGCTAAGCTGGCAACTACAGAAGTGGGAAATGGTGGGTCATTCTTCTTTTTCTCTCACCTGTGACAATGTACTAAAACTTAAAAACTAATTGGTCATAAATGGCGAAATTCGAATACAAGACTATTGTAATAATCTTTTTACCGCTCTATGATATGTAGATGAAAATGGAACAGCTTATTACTTTTAACCGGGATGAGATAGAACCTTTATATTATTCAGCCAAAACGGTTAAAAGAGAAGAGACCAGTCGTTTCCGACAGTATTGAAAATTGCACAGCAAACTATCAGCTCAGCATTGAAAATTTGTTCTCAAGTCCATGCAATCAAGTGGAAGCCTATGATCCGCAGAATATTCTCTTAGTATATTACTGGTTTTATAGACTAAAATCTAGTGCACAAACCTCAAGAATTTACATGGTCTTGCATGTAGATTATAACCGAAAAGTAAAATAAATATATACACCAATGACTGAGGAAATAAATTTATTTTAATGTTCTCAGGTTGCTTCCCACTGCAAAGACAGGAACAAATAAAAAAAACTAGAATAAAGGGGGGAAAGAGCAAGAATAAAATGAAGGTACAAGATCCCTTTGAGATCTAATGCCTTTTTTTTTTTTTACAAATTCCTCATTTTTTTCTCTCCAGGGCAGCTGCATGCAGTGTAGAGACAAGCTGTTACAGTTTACCCTTTTTTGTCATTCCCACTTTCCTTACTGGAAACTACCTGTTTCCAAGAGATTAATGCAATACAAATTAGTCGTATATAACCATCAAATTTCCATTTTTACTCCACATATTGCCTCACATTCTAAATGCCAAAATTTCACGAGAAAGTGAAAAGTAAAGTTTCACCTGAATCTTTGGAACCTGCTTTCTCAGATTTCAAGAAACCATTTTCTTTGTGGAATGTTGATTTGCCCTGAACAAAACAACAAGGCTTATAAGTGGCATAACTAAGCTTCATTTCAGCAGAACATTCATATAACAATGGAAGATCAACTGGTGTAATGGATTAATTAGTACCTTCAGATGTGTACCAGAGAACCCTTGTGAAAAGTCCAACAAATCTATTGAAGCTTCTTTCTTGCAATTATTCTGTTCATAGACACCGAGAACAACCATTATTACTCTTATACTTTTACAAAAAGGACTGATGCATATCAATAGAGTAAGAACAATGTATTCAAGAAGTGGAACTTGCCTTGGAAAAGCTTATCACGGGGGAACTGGCAGTGTCATCAAGATAAGAATGCTGTTGATTGCTACCATGTTCTTTGGTTTTCTGTTTATTTTTTCTTCTTTTCTTGGCTGGTTCAGGGGTTGCTGGAACGGAACAAAAGCTCCCATTTCTATCAAGGCATTCCCCATAATCTTGGTAGTAATGTCTAGGACCAGAAGACGCATCAGACACCATGGATAGGTCCTGCTCCTCATCTTCAACCACAAAGTTCCCACTTCTTTGAAACCTTGTCTGAGAATAAGAGGATTGATCTAAGTAGAGAGTCCAACCAGATTCACAACCACTACCACATTGTGAAGCTGATACATTCATTTTTTTCACTCTTTCCTCAAACCAATCAACAACCCCTCTTTGTATCTTAAAAAAGATAGAGAAAAAAATAATAATAAAAATAAGAAATGAATTTGCTATTGGAACAATGAAAATAAACCCTCTCTTTTCACTCTCTTGGATTTCCACATACAAGCAAACTCTTGAAGCTGTTGTTTATAAACAGAAAAAAGAGAGGGTATAGCGGGATAAGACCAAAGAAATCACCCTCAAATCCTAGACTACTTTTTGTCCTTTCTTCGATCCTTCTCCCTCTTGTTTTTTTTCTTGGGTAAATCAATCACATTTTCCATTTGGCTTCGTGAAAGAGAGAGAGAGAGAGAGAGGAAATGAAAGCAATTGGTAACAATGGTGATAATAGAAGCGGTTAGCAATTCATGTATAAATGTAGTAATACAGCAGCCTGTACAACGATGGAGCTGCCCTTTCAATAAGAACCAAGAAATGGAAATCGGTGGATGTATTTTACTTCTCATTTAATAGACCTATAACACCATTTGTTTTCCTGCATGTCTTAGTTTATACATAGTCTCTGATTAGTTTGGAAGTGATAGATTGGCTTCAAACAGGGTAATAATATCACTTCAAACAAATGCATCAAAATGGACACCTAAATAGACAATAATGGAAACAATTCAATTTAAAAGAGATTAGTGGCTTATTTAAACAAGGGATTGTCATGACAGCACTGTCTCATGTCTTTAATACTCTTTTACTGTAATGATTCTCTAAATGGGACCCTCTTTTCCCCCTTTCTTGTCAAAAACTGCAAATTGCTTCATTTCACTAGCTAGAATCTTAAATGAACCATCATTCAGAGTTCGGGATGAGATTTTTGCTAGGATTTCAGGGCTTTTTTGTTCAATGTAAAGATGTCCTTTTATTCAAAACTTAAAAAGAATACCCTTATTTAATTTGTTTAAACCAGGTGGACCAAATGTGATACGGGTAGACATGTATTTCCCTTTGCTGAGTTGTTGCAGACTCATTTCTGCAGAAACCAAGAATTACGGTAAACCGATTTTTTCCCTTTTTATTTTCCCTGTGCCACCATTGAAATCTAAAGTTAGGGGTTGGATTGTTGGAATGCATTAAAATGGTGGGTATCGAGCGACCCCATGAATGTTAGATCATTGTGAAGTATCTGGCGTCTGAAGAACATGTATTCCGAAAGGTAATTTTCTTTTAGAAGCATATATGCAAATACAGCAAACCCTCCTTTGGTAGGACTGTAGAGACTATGAGTTATGCTAATGTCTAGCTGTACTTTTTAGCAACATTACACTTCCAGTTGAGAGAGACTTGCACTACAAAGATGATTGAGAGATGAAAAGTAAAAGTCTAAGAACTATTGATGCTTTGATATTTGATGAGTGCACTCTCGAAATTCGGCTTTTCCTTGTTCACCATGTTCTAGTTCACATGGGGTGATGTAATTACTCATTTTTTAAAGTCATTGACCATTCGTTCTGAAGCTCTGAAACACCACTCACTTGCGGGACTCGGTCTTTAAGATCGAGAAGACTTTGGCCATCACATTGTTCAATATTTGCTTAATCACTGGCACGATAAATGAACCAGTTTTGGTAGGACTGGGAGAAATCTATAATGATATAATTATATGATCTGACCTGAGCATGTTAGTGATGATGGACTGAAGATTATTCAGATGTTGGTTAAGAACAATATCTTTTCCAGCTTTAAGGTAGAAAATCCACCCTAGTACATTCAAAATAGCTGTTCTTGGACCCTACTAATAATGTTGAATCCTCATGGTGACCACGGATGCAATAGCAAAATCATACACTGATATCACACTGCTAAACCACGTACGAATTCGTTACATTTTATGTTAGAAACAGTAATTTCCTGCAGATCTCATTACATTTTAAAAGCAGCCTTGATTTCCTTCTCTATGAATGGCAAAAGTGCCCAAATAAGGACGTGGGAATGTTTAATTCCCAATCTATCTACAGGGTTTTGTGATCTATCGGCGTCTTTAGTAGTGTTGATTATTTCTTGGGATCTCTAGGCGTCATCGATTGAAATCCAAGAAAAAAAAATTGACGTTTTTATACAAATATCACCTTAACATAAATTAATTACTAGTTAGGCATTGTTTAAGAATATTTTACGGATCTAGCAAATTATTAAATACTTTCTATAAAATTATTCCTGCATTAAATTACACAATACAATTATGTCTAACAATTACCACTTGACACTTTTTGATGTGTTTTTGACCTTTTCAAAATCCTATACGTATAATATATTATAAGAAAACTTTGAGGGTACGTAATTTAAAATATAAATAATTTTATAAAATATTACGGATCATCATCATCATTATCATTTTGAAAATAATTTTGCAGAAATGTGTGGTACATGCACTGTATAAGATTTTGAAAAATATTTATAAAAGTTTTATAACTAATATTTATTTTTCAAAATCCTATGCGGTGAATGTGTCGCGCTTTTCTGCAAGATTATTTTTCAAAATCCTAGAATATAGTATACGTATAGGATTTTGAAATGGTAAAAAACGCATCAGAAAGTGTCAAGTGGTAATTGGTAGACATAATTGTATTGTGTAATTTAATGCAAGAATAATTTTATAGAAAATATTTAAAAATTTGCTAGATCCGTAAAATATCCTTAAATATTTACGTTTCAGACACCCTTTGAGATAATATTCTCGATCTAACACCCTTTGCAGAAAGGCGCGACCCATGCACCTTCCATCCCACTGACCCAACTGACTGTTCACACTATCCATCCCATCCTATAAATACCTCACTCTAAACTATTTTCACCACACCAAATTCTCTCAATTCCTCTCAAAAACCAAACCTCGTTCAAATTTTATTTATAAGGTATATTTTGTTAGTATTATTTATTATTATTTATTATTATTTTTTATTTTTTTAAATATTTTTTTTTGCAGTTATAAAATGGAAAGCGGTCTACTTCGTTTGGCTGAAAATCTATATAAGTTAACGGAAACAATGATGTTGGATATTTGTACTGAAGCGACGACATTCTTCTAGTTGAGAGGATTGTTGTGAATGTTTACGAGTTGAAAGTGTATTTATAGTCGAGAAAAAAGTTTAAAAGCGGTGCATGGGCTGCGCCTTTCTGCAAAGGGTGTTAGATTGAAAATATTATCTCAAAGGGTGTCTAAAACGTAAATATTTAAGGAAAATATGATTTTTTGGTAAAATCACCAAAAATGCATAGTAAGCAGAAAAAAATTAACTAAAGACTCCGAGTAATCCATGTATGAAAATTTTAGCCCAAAGACGCCGAGATATCTTGGAGTCTTTAGGTGATTACTGTAGAAAATACATTAGATGGATAAATAATGTTGGAAGCATGTTAGTTTGAGAATTAAACACTCTCTGTAGCATTATCTGGGCTCGTCCAGTGGTTGAATAAACCATATATAACGTAGACCAAATAGCTAGCCTGCCTTAAACTGAAACTAGATTCATCTTCTTCAAGGGGGAAATGGAAATTGAGCTCCTCAGAATCTAGGATTATAAAAACAAATGACAGAAATCATTGGACGTTTAATTAGGCAAAAAGGCGATGCTTGATTTTAAGAAAACAATGATTATATAAATTGCAATGGAGAGAAGATCATGAGGCCGCTGTAGGACCTTCTTCTGGATCAAAATGGTCCCGGACATTAAACTCATGTGCACATGGCCTTTGGTAGTTTGTGGCCCTTTGTCAGTCCATGACTCGTAACCTCTAAGCGTAAAACAAATCATCAGTCTCTCATTCGGTTTTCTGCTGTTATTGCATGAGTTTCATCTAATGTGATAACTCACCAGATTTATATACAAATTAGTTTGAACAATATTCAATCAACTACAAACCTGTAAACATTGTGAACTTTGAATTATCATCCTTTTACCTTTCTTTACAAAACATAAATTCTTTACACCTATTCACGGCTGTTTTCTCACCGACTGCTACTCTCTGCCCAAATAAAAAGAAATGAACAGTCTATAACTGCAATACCTATTATTTTTCCCCATCAACAACCTTGATTACAGTCTGCCTAGAACTAGAATCAGTAAGACCTTGGCCAATTGCTACAACCCGGTTGTTGAAGGGAATAACAGTATGGGCTTTGCAGACAGCTTGGAATTTTCCAACAGGGTCCCCTACAGTGAAAGAGTCGAAGCAAAATTGCCAGTTGTTGCTTAATGATTACAGCAATTCCACACCCTCCCCTCTCTTTTCCTTCAAAATTTCCAACCTTTCCCCACAATAATTCCATTTTATCTTTTAAATTACCATTTACGTATATTTTATAATCAAATGTATGATTAAAAATTGTAACTTATTTGATGAAATGATCTTAAAATATGTTTTAATAGCACTAGTAAGCAAACAACGTGGGAGTCCCCATCAAACGAAACCAAAGTCAAATCTCCCCCATTACGATCTGTCTTCCAAAGAGAAATATTACACATAAAAGACAGACGGTCACATGAATCCCAATGAAAGCACGTCTGTTTTATATTTAATTTGGGTTGCACGAATGATTGTGAAATGGATAATCTTGTAACAAATTGATCATTGCCTTTCTGATATGATGTCTAAGTACGTAGTTTTAATATATGATTAAGAAAAAATATTTTATCGAAAATGTTAATATTGAGTGTTACTTAAAATATTTTTTTATCATAAATTAGGTAACAAAATTAACATTTCCGGTAAAAAAATAATATTATAAATAGCGTTTTACCGAAAATATTAAAAAATATAAATATTTTTTATAAGTCGTTTTCTTAACCGTATATTAAAACTATATTACACCAAAACTACTAGTTTAGCAGTGCCATGTATATTATATAATATCATCCAAAAACTAATTTCTGTAATGACATGCTGAAATCTCGATGTGCACGCCTACAATGCTCTACAGTTCGATAGTTGAAAGCGAATACTGTAACAAGATCATCAATGTCTTTGGTCCAGAAAGGCAAGAGTACAAAGATTTAGCTGGCTAATCCCCCAAAGATTATGTTTGCTGACATAATGGGACGTCATATTACAAAGACATCTTGAGATCTTTTTGGAAGGTAGATATATCGATAACTGGTCATATT